ATATTAACCTTCATATTCTTACCAAAGTTAAATTCGACTGTCGGTGAGTACCAGTTTTGATGAAGTACAGTTGCCTGTGACAAAACGATATCCATCTATTTGTCATGATGCATTGTCCGTAATTTCAGCCTTAGAGTATTTTTGCGCTTTTTCAATCAGAACTACCTCACAATGCATCGATGGATACATTTTCCTCGGAATCGCTGCAGACCTCGTGAGATGTTCTCTGGAAGTTGATTAATACATGTTCGAAGTCACATCGCCTGTCCGACAGTCATGCTGCATAATAACTTAGTTTTCTCTAGCAGCAGTACAGCTTTACCAGGCATCAAAGGAGAATACAGTAATTGTCGCTTCCTCGTCCCTCCAGCAAAATGACGCCTGCCATTTGAGACTGCTTGCCCACGCTTTTGTCTTGTTAATACTTTGACTCGTCATAAGCTACGATAATATATCAGCTAAGCTTTAAACCTTTAAACCTAAGCTACGATAATATATGAGCTAAGCTTTAAACTGCCAATGAAAATGGCGCTAGGCTGGATTAGACTATTGACGTTGTGGTAAACAACGGCGGACATGGTTCGGCGAGAAGTGCGATAAAGATTGAAAAGAGTAAATGCATCAATTAAAAATGCGATATGTGTTCATTTAAGAAGCAGAAGTTCAGAAATGATATGTGCAAATACAGCGCTATATTAAATGAATTAGATTCCCCATTGAAGCAAAAATTTACTTCAAAAGTTACGTTTATGAACAGATGGGAAAAATCGAATCATAGCCGAGATTCGTACCTCAGAGTGTAAATGAACGTGGGTTTATTAAACTCGTTTGTTTCTCAAAATTTTACTGCTTTCCTGAACACATTTTAGTTGACGAACACATGATTATAGTTTTATACCTCACGCAGTTTGTTTGCAATCCAACAATGAGTAATAATGGTCGAAATGAGTAAGAAATTCCGTCAGGAAATATCGATTCCTCCCTATGGCAATGATTTTTCGCGCTAGCTTTTATTGACTGATAATTTCAGGGCAAACGGAATTGGTCTCCATCCAGCATAATCGAAAACAACTGGTGCTCTGCGAAATCTTATTGAAAGGCTCGTCTTCCCATTGCATCAAGACAATAATGAGCTGTCGTTAGAAAAAAAATTCCCGGAAGTTCTTCGCTCAGCTCATCTGGGCAAAGTAAAAGTGTCGATCGAACTTTGGAACAAAGGACGGCATCCGGAGGTGATGAAAAGCTTTGGAACGAATGTCATTAGGCATAAGTGAAGTCAGCTTCTGCCTGAAGTTGGACAGTCTCCACGGATGGATAATCGTCTGTCGACCATTGCCATCGCCCACCGCCTCCATGCAACTTTGTTTCTGAAGATTATTGGCGTTGTTGAAGCAGCGGGAAGAAAAATCCGATAAAAGCAATGCAAAGAGTCAAGAGATGTCCGCCGTCGAAATGAGTGAACGGCCCAAAAGAGAATAGGAAAAAGACAAATATGATCGTCAGTGATGCATCGCATCGCTGAAAAATAAGCATGGAAATGGAACGAAAACAAAAGGAAAATATGTCAAGATGGAACATCGGTCTTGTTGCACTTTCATGATATTTTGGGGCCCATCTTTTTATGAAGTTGATGGTGCAGTGCTGATATTTGTTTCTCTGCCAACGGCCAGGAGTGCCTTATTTTTGAAGGCGGAGTCTGTAGCCATGTGGCAAATGCAGCAAGCACTTCCAATAGAGTGGTACTCATTTATCAACCTCGGAAGGAAAAGAATGAGTGACTCCCGACCGAGAAGTCGTGTGGTAGATTTTTTGCTCAAAGGAATTCATGAGTGTAAGAAGCACTGCACTGTCCATGGACCAAACCGATCCTGGCACCTCCGGAGTTCGAAGCAAACCTGTCAGACAACTGTGACAATACGCTGCAT